ATAATTGAACTTAAAACCTGCTAAGTTAGTTTTAAAAAGTCTGCTGTGTTGCAACTGTGCATTAGGCTTCTTCCCTTTCCTATAAATATCCCTTATTTTCTCATCTGTGTGTCTATCAGATCCTCCAGAGAGCTTGCAGAGTCATCAAGTTTTCTCTTATGAAAAAGACTGTGAAACACTTCAAAAATGCACTTAAGCATTATGCTTCCTTTCAGGACAAAGGAAAAAAAAAGGCACAGACTTTCACTTACAGGGACATTCACCTTTAGTGATGATGTTTGTAACCTATCATGCTAAACTGAGGTCAAAATGTCTAAAATGAGAGTACCCAAGCAGTTCCTGTAAAACCCAGAACCTCACTCAAGTCCACCAGAGGTTCAAAGGGTTGATGAGTTCCCTTAGAAAAGGAAACACAGGACAGGGCTGCCTGAAAGGCTGGGCACTACAACAGCTGCCACTGTGAATACCTGCTCCAAAGCTATCCAGAGGGGGAAAATGACATATCCTACACAGAAGGCACATAGTTTCAGTTCTCCACTCTTACACAGGACCTGCCTGGACACTGACCTGAGAGGAAGGAGCCCTGCAGCAGCCCTGGAATGCTGCTGCCTCTGTGGGGGTTCAGCTGCTCAACTGGCAGGAACTGACACTTCACATTCTGACTCCAAGTAAAATGAGATTCCAACTCCAATTCAACTGGCTTACATCTATTATTTCCCTGGTTTGCCAAGAGCCTTCTTTTCAAAGGTAAATTCAGGTTGGCTCAAAATATTATTCCCTAATTTTACTGGTGCCATCACTTCTGGGACAGAACTGAGTAAATCTGATACATTCCAGAGCAAAACATAACAATTTTCCAGCCTAAGAAGTCACCTACAGCTCGTTCCTGACAGAGAAAACTAGAACCCTTTCATGTGATTAGACTACAAAAGAAGTGGTGATAAAGTTTCAATAGGTGCTGAACCAGCACACTGGGTGGCCCAGTATTTTACACAGGTTATTTATGAAGTGAGGCAGTTGCTAGTGGTTACAAATATTTTCATACCTTAAAAGGATGTATGTAGCAAACTGAATGCACTAAAGCTTCCAGGGTAATATGCAAAAAAAAAAAAAAAATAAAATCATGCAAATGTCCACAAACTTCACAAAGAAGCATGTGGGCCATTTTTTTACTCATCAAAACCCTGACCTAAAAGAGAAGCATCCACTATAATTAAAGACTTAACAGAAAATGAAATAACACTAATTTTAAGGCACATCAAGTGTTGTGGCACCGCTTTGGCCAGTGCTCTTTTAAGCAACTCTATATAAATCTGCATGCTCAAACTCACTCACTAAACTCCAAAACCAGCTGTGGTCTGATCTATCTCAGACTTGCCAAAGCGCTCACTCCAATGTCCTTGTGTTAAATTGAGCTGGAAATCTCTTAGCAGAAAAACACCAGAACCCTCCTCTCTCTGAAAAAAAATGAAAGTATCTTTTAATTTCAGAATGTTAAATGTGGGTGTAAGATAAAGCAATGACACAACTATCTCTCTCCACAAACAAGAAACTGAATGTCAAAGTGCATGGCAATGTCTAGCAAAATATTCTTTAATCTCCCAATGGAGAGAAGACTCATTAATTGAGATCTAGCTTACCATACCGCAGAAATCACACTATGTTTTTTGCTAATCCTTGAGAGCTACTCATGATCTGAAAATGCCACTCTCAGAAATTAAGTTTTAACTTTCTCTTTAAAAAGGCCTGGCACTTTCAACGCTTAAAAACCTCGAGCCTCAATCTAGTCACACAGTATAACGCCACTGTATTTACTACTGTCACTGTCGAAAGAAAAAAAGCACATCAAACCTGCAAAAGCCTTTTGCAAGCCAAACCTCCTTTAAATAACACATTCAAGAGTATCAAGCACTAGGCCTTGACAGAACCAAACAATTTCTGTAGCACTACGCAAGCTTGGCAAACGTGGTCCAGCACCACGCTTCACTGCTCACCCTCCCGAGTGCCCAAGTCCCCCGCAAGGCAGCGTTTCCAATCCCATTTCCTATCACGGTAAGCCTGGGAGCGCAGCTGAGAGAGACCTTCCCCCCACTGCCATCTTTCCAGTAAGTCCAGAAGGAGCAATGACAACCAGAAGGACAGACAGGAGGACAACGAGCCCTGCCAGGGCCACCGACACCTCCGTGGCCTGCAGCGGGGAGGGTGCCACGGGTCCCGCGGGGTAAATAAAGAGGCTGGCAGAAAATAATTAAGGGGGCAGGGTGGATGCAGGCCTTAAAATTTTACGCAAGGCTCAGAATTAGTTACACATGAACGGGGCAAAAGGTAAACTAAAAAAAAAAAATTAAAAACCCCACAAAACACCCAAAACCCACCACCCCGCCTTGGGAACCGATAAGCCTCCAACTACCCCCGCCCCCACACGAGAATCTATGGGGGGAAATCTCCACAGATGGGACTCTGGCTCCCCCAGTACCGCCACTCCAACACACGCCCCCCAACCCCGCGGCCTTCCCCCCCCCCCCAACGCCAGCGTTCGGCTTCCCCACCGCCCCCCGCCGCGCCGACCTCCCCTCCCCCTTACCCGCCGCGGTCTCGGTCGCGGCCCCGGTCCCCGAAGCCTCTCATCGCCCCCGGAGGGGTGGGTGAGAGGCACCGGAACGCCGGCCGTGGGGACGGCGAGGGGCTGGGGGTACGGGGAGAGGGTCCAGCCAGAGGCGGCTGCGCCTCGGAGGCCTCGCTTTGCGCCACCTCGCCTCTTTGCTGGGACACAAAAGGAGAAGAGGTGGTCAGTGGGTCCGAGACCCGCTGGGCGTCAGCGGCCGGAACGGCGGGGCTCTCGGTCGACTCCAGGGCCCGGGTAGTGTGGAGACACTAGCGTCTTCTTCCTCCGTGCTCCCGGCACAAAATGGCCGCCGCGGCCCCGGCCCGCTCCGCTTACGTTACGGGCAGCCCGGCGCTGCGCAAACTGCGGCCCTCCGAAGCACCTACGCCTATTCACGGAGCTCAACTACGCACTAAGCGCTCTCGGCGAAACACCGCCCAGCGCAGTAGCAGGCGGGCTACGAAAAGTGCGTAACGTTCTTTACTTGGATCCGGGGCCCTGCGTGAGGAAGGCGGAGGGGAGGAGTAACGCTATTCCCCAAAGTCAGCTGCGCAAGGAGCGCTCTCGTAACCCCTTCTGCAGGGCAGGGAATACCTGGGCCGAGGCGCACGTTACGTAAGCACACGGCGTACGCAAGGTGCGTAACTCAGGCTGGCGTAGAGCCCAGTGTGCATGGCGTAACATTCTGACGCGGACCGTGCGTACCGGGCGGGAGGGTTACGCTGGATTCGCAGACGGTTTGAAGAATACGGCCCGTCGCCTGCTCGCCTACGGGCTCTCCCAAGGTGGCGGCGCGGCTGAGGACACGGTGATGGGACAATGGCGGAACAATAACGGGACGCTGGGCCACGGGGATCGAGCGACCTTTTGGACCTCTGTGGCGGCTCCAGCGGGCTGAGGTTATTCCGTGTCAGATTAGCGGGGACAGGAGCAGAGTGACAGCGGCCATGATGTTTGCTGTCGCCTGAGCGCCAGCAGGCCGGGAGAGAATTCCCCACGAGCCAGAGACTCCTCGCTGAAAGGTAGAATCATCCACGAGGGGATTACGTGGCACAGACCATAAATTCTTTTGTGCCGTGTATGTGCTATGGCCAGGTCAGTGTGTCCTGGCACAAAGAGCCGTGTCCCGTGGATGGTGGGGTTAGACCAGCCAAACACAGCCCTGGCCCACATCGTGTTATCGCTAGCAGCAGTAATTTGTGGCCTGTCAGGTTATCAAACACTGGTTGTACTGGCAGAAGGGAAAGCGGGTCCCCTTTACTTTCCGGCCCTTGGATAAAAATACCAGCCTAGAACAACATGCAAATTACCATTTTAGCTTCACATGCTATATATATATATACACACACACACACACACACATATATATATATGTATGTATGTATCACATGTGTGAGAAATGCAAAAAGCAATCCGAGTGCTTAAAATAAAATGGAAGAATGTTTCTGTAAGAAACCTGGGTCTTTCAAGTGGGTGGCAGGGAGTCAAGTGACACTGCACACTCTCACTGGCACTGGGTACTTGGCCACTGAATACAAATGCCTAGTGTGGGAACGCCTGGCACCTGCAAAGAACTGGACATTGCATTAAATGACAATGGCTGATCCATTCCTGGCTCTCTCAGATGAACCAGCTTCCCAGCCTTCAACTCTCTAGTCTTTTCTCCACTGTGAAAAATAGTGCTTTACTTCAGGAAAAACATCAACTACCTGTTAAGAAACCACTTAAAGAAGGCAAGCCCTCTAGGTCTGTCACAAGGAAAAGCCTGGCTAAAATGTCAAGCTTCTCTTCCATGAATTTCTGGTCATTGCTGCCTTTTTGTTTGATGTTATCTCACGTGCATTTGATAACCTAAACAAAAAAATTCTTTTTCCAGTGAGGACGAGTTCTTCAACCAGATCCCAAAATTAGACTCATTGTAATTACCAGAGGACAAAGTAAGACTTCCCCATTATATCCATGTGTGTGTATGTATTGTTTAATTTATTTAAAACAAGCAATTCCATGAGCATTGGAGATATTGTAAAAGGAACTGTTATTTTGGCCCCAATGTCCAGTTTCTGTCTTTATTCCCAGCTTCTTCTTTTGCCCCCTGTGACCCTACATCTCCTGCTAGTTCAGAGCTGTGCCTGTGCTGGCTGCTCCCTCAGCAAGCTGAATCCTAAGTGCCTTTTCCTTGGTATAAGTGCTGGTGCCAGCCCCTCCTATCTAGCTTCAGGATTTGTTTTATTTTTATAGTAACAATATTTAATATTACTTAAAGTAATATTTAATAGTCTTACTTATACCAGAAGAATGAAAAGTCAATTATATCAAGCTTGTTTCTTCAGAGAGCTAGAAAAAAGATTTTAAGGTATTGGGTTGCACCCAAATTATTTTTCTCATGAAAGATCAATGAGATTTTTGAAACGGGGAGTTTTATTCAAAGCACCCAAACATAGTCAGACTTCTGTTCTAATTCACAGTCTTTATTTTTAACTTTAATAAGAACAGGTTTCAAACATTCTGTCCAAAAAGTAGAAAATGCTAAATAAAAACATGAACATTATCTAGGCAAGATAAAAATGTTTAAAAACGTATTCTTAAAACTACTTGTTCCTCTACAGTACATGAAAATCCGTCAAGTTCTTGAGCTGTTGTTCCTCCCACTGCCTTTTCCATCTATATATGTCAATTTTATAACTGAGTTTATTCCAGTTCTGTTGCATTTCACACTGTTAAATTCTACCACTTAGACACTCTCTTTGAAATAAATTAAGAAAGAATATATTCATTCCCATGTGAAAGGACAGGTTTGATTTTCACAAAAGACAGGAAAAAGATTCTAAGAACAATTCACAATCTAATGGCTTAAATCTTTGTGTCCTAGAGGTTCTATTGAAAAACAAAAATCCTAAATGACCAAAATTTTAGTTCAGTAAAACTGAACTGTACAAAGTCCATCCTATTTTCTCCCAAAATATCTTAAATATCTCCCAAAAGCTACAAATGCAGCCAGGTAGTTGTCGACCTTTCACAAATCTTCATCCCAACTGCCCAGCTGGTTTTAAGCTGTACATTTATCATTTTTTTACCTATTCTTTGGCATCCCCAATCCCTCCAGCAGTTATTGCAAATGTGGCTTCATTTTCAGGCATCTCAGGGCTGGGAGAAAAAGAAACAAAAAACTTGTGTGTTTCTCCATGTAAAATGCAGTTGTGAAACAGTCTCCAAAGTGTTGTGATATTGTGGGTGTGAGCAACCTGGAATACCTCAGTGCCTTTATACCTATGTGCACACTGTAGAACGTGATTGATATCATCAGGATCAGAAAATGTGACATTATTGTGTCAGGAAAACTTAGGAATTTAACATGTCCAGAATTTTCCTGCCAAAGGACTACCGATCCTACCAAAGTATTTGATGGTTTTCATTAAGTGCTGAGCATCTAGTAGGATTTATGATGAAAGATGCTGTTATTTAATGTATGCAATGTGCAAGACAACTTTAATTAGTTGTTTAATCTGTTAATTAGTTTGTCCTTTCAGATTTTCTCCCAGTGTACCATCCAGAAAGCTTCAATACCTTGAAATTTGTCACCTTCCCTCCTGTTTACCTGTCGTAGATCTTTGCAATACGCAGCTCCCCTCTCCCTTTCCTCAGACTGATCCTGGTAGTTGAAGCATGAGCAAGGATGTGGCCCCCAATGGGCTTTTTTGGGTCTGCCTGAAAGCTGAATTAGCAAGAAAATTGTGGTGATTCACTGTGCAAATTCCAGAGGTTAATACCATGATTAACTGTCAGACTGAGCCCTATTCAACTCAATAACGAATAATCAATAGGGAAATACATTAGACTTTTGCACACTTGTCTCAAATGTTCAATGCTGGCATCATTTTCCTGCCATTAAATTCAAGAGGCTCAAGAAATACACACCTTAAATATCACATAAAGCTGCTCCAAAGGAAAATGTGGTGCTTTTTCAATATTTTTATAGCTCATTTTCTTTGTTTAAGTCACGGTAAAATCACACCACCACAGCAGGCAGCAGATAAACATAAAAAGGCTTATTCCAAAACTGAGAGAAACTTCCAGAGGTCATTTATGTAGGAATTCCTAATAACACAGGGAACAATGACCAATCTGATCTTTCATTTCAGTGCCTCTTGCACCTTACTACCTCAGTTCTCGTTTCTGTTAAATACATAATACAAAATACAGGAATTTTTTTAAAAGAGAGAGAAAAAGTATCTTACGTCATAGTTGCTCCTGGGTCAGCAGTCATCTGGTTGGTCACAAACACAGCCACATTATATTCTGCAAGAGAAGACATTGCAAAGAAGCTAGACTTCTTCCAATTAGAGTTCCAAAATATTCTCTCATCCGTGGTAAAAGCAAGGTTTCTGCTGAAGCATTTCAAATTTCAAATGAATGAGAAGAAAATATTCTTTATGACTGATGGTTGCAGTTAATCAGGACACAGCCTAGATTTGCTCTTGCATGGCTTCAGCTGTAATACACCAAAAATGAGTCCTTTTCACAATTCCAGTGAGCAAGTCTTTCTCAGTTCCCATCTATTCTCTGCACATTGGCTCCTTGCCCTAAGCTCCCTCTCCTTCCCTTTCTCTGTTTGCTTTTTTCTTTTTTTCACTTCAGGAAAAAAGCATTTATTCATTCCTGATCAACATTTCTGAGACATTCCAAAGAGAAAGAACTCCATTCACCCTGTGATCATCCCTCAAAGCATTGCAAAGTACTGAGAAAGTGGCAAGAGGCATGGCTTTTTAATTCTCTATGCCTTCATCCTCTTTTCTTTCTTTCTTTTGTTGAAATTTGGGGAAGACAATTACTGAGTATTTGTCCAGTTCTACAACTTATTATCTCATTTAGGGCCTGACAGTATTTCTAGAAAAACTCTAAATGTTGGAAAGTCCATAAGTTTTCTCAATCTGTCATCTTGAAATAATATATTATCAGTTTGCTCTTTTTGGTAACTGACAGAGGTGTCAAGTGAGGAAAGATCCCTGGGCTAGAGCCTGGTTGATAATACACCTGGACTACTAAGTGGTTGTGCTACCAGCAGCTACTGGTAGTGACTTCAGCCCATGTTTTCCAAATCTTGCCATGTTTCCCATACCTTCTGATATTTTTTGGAGCCTTGACAACATCTGAGCCAGTTTCTGTTGTCGTTCGGCCAACTCTCCGCGACCACTGAAATCCACACGGAAAAGTGCCATTATGGAGTCAATGATCTGCATTGTAATCATGCTGGGTAAGTAAATATAGTGAAAGAAAACAGGAACACTTATTCTGAGAACAGTAAGCATACAGAAGTCTTATACCAATAACTTGAAGATACCAGCTTCCTCATGGAACTTGGCTGCTACATAGTCAAGCAATTCCATCTGATGCTCACCTAGTGGGAAGCAGTTACCAAGAAAAATTAGGACCAGAAAGAACTCTGAAAGAACAAAAGCCTGAACTTCAAAATTCCACTTTCAATGTCTGCACTGGTTATTTGTTCATTGCCAGCAGTTTTAAATCCAGTGCCCAGTAACAATCTACTTTGCAGTTTTTTCTCACCCATCTCACAAAACTTCTTTGTGAAAATCCTCACTCTGCATGAAGACAACTTTTTGTTAAGAACTGAAAATCAATATATACATTTAAATTTAATTTGAAATAAATGACACACAGAAAATGTTTTAATAATTTATGTTTATATTGCATTCTTAAAGAAGTCTTATTTCAAAATTTCTTGACGTTTTAAAGCGGTGTCTTGTGATAGAGAGTGTGTTGAGCTGTTAGTAAACTGAGAGCTGTTAATAAACTGAGAACTATTAAAATGGAAAGAGAGAGAGCAAAAACTGAGAGGAGAAAAGCCTAGCTATCATGCCAATTGCAGAAATGGCCTTACTGGTGTATGCACGTGCATAGAGCACGTTGTCAAGCACTGCCTCGTGGTCCACATTGAAGCGATCCGCAATGTCACGCAGGCGATCCGGTCGGCTGGCATGAGTCAGAGTTAAGGGTTTCTCCTAGTGCAAACCATGCTCTGAAAATAATAAACTCCATTCCAAAATAGGACTATGGGGGGAAAAAAAAGAAGAATATTTATTTTAGTCCTAGAGAAGACTGACTTTTTGTCTTCAGGCTGTCCCACGTACCCTAAAGATAGTTTAGGGCTCACGATGGTAATTGTTTTGTGTTTAGGGTTTGAGGCGAGGGGGTTGACATATGGATATCTGTGCTCTAGGAATTTAGCAAAACCTGTTTATACACAGTCTACTGCAAATGTGAAGTGTTAAAAATAGTGTTTAGTACTTAGATAAATTTATCTTGAAGAGAAAAGCTGCTATAACCTGTAGGAGGCCTACTAGATCGCAAAAACACAAAACCCCCAAAAACAAACAAACAAAAAAAACCCCAGTTAAAATAAAATCCAATTCCTAACTAATTTTTTCAGGTTGGATTACATGAAATGACAAAAGAAAAACACTTCCTTGTGGGCCACTACACTCTGTGCTCTCCACGATTTCTGTGCCCCTCATGTTTTACATGTATGAAGCTTCCTTATGACTAACTAAAGTGCATTAACTTTCCAGTTCATCACACCTGTAGCTTTTAACAGTCAAAAAGATACAAAGTGTTTTCAGTATCAATGAAGATAATCTTTCCACCTGTGTAGCCATTTGGTCCTGGGAGCTGAGCTGTCACTACAGAGAAGCATACAAGATTAAAATGAAAAAGCAGGAAAAATATTTTCTTACTCCATCTATCATTATTTTTTTAAAAAAATACAACTGTTTATTCATATCACAAAAACTGTCAGTTTTTATCAATGTGAAAATCAGGAGTATCTTGTCTTACTGCCATCTTGAGAATAAGCTCAACCCACTTTTCTTGAATGCAGATCAGATGAGATTTAAGTGATGGTGTCAAAACTGTTTTACTCAGTACCATCACTTAAATCTGTGTATTTTAGGGATATTATTAGTGAGTTCTTACACACAAAGCCTCCTCTTAATCCTCTGCCCAAATTAATTCTATTGACTTAGTAGGCACTTTTTCCAGCTGTAGCTACTATGATCAAAAATTCTTTGGATATGAATTTTTCCTGATATGCAAATAGTTGCTGATTGTGGATTTAGTCTCTTTGGAGTGAATAAGCTAAAATACTCAATCCAGTTGTAATCATTCATGCAAAAGGGTATGACTCTGCTGACCATTACACTGTACTAACCAGAGGCCTTGTTTTTCCAGAACATGCCATATTTCACTTTAGAATATAGGGGTATAATTTAATAGAAATTGCCTACCCAGTGTCTGGTAATTCCAGCAGCATTAACAGTTACATAAGTTACTGTTTACTTCTGTTTACACATTGAGAGAGATCTCTGGGAAATCAGCGTCCTGCTGGTTTTGGCACTGCCCAAATATGGTGGCTGCCAAAGTCTGTTTATCCAGTCACTGACAGCCAGTAGTACCCTTTCAGAATGTCATATTCAGCAAAACCTCTTGAGACCAGGACAGTCAAAGAATTGCTGAGGAAAAAAATTTGCCTCTGCCCTTTTCTGAGCAATGCCCCATCTACATGTGACACATATTTGTGCTCTGCTTTTCCAGATGGTGTGTTTCATTGGTTTATCTAAGACAGCCTATTAACTTCCTCTCCTTATGGCAAAACCTTAATGGATGTGGGCAGTATCAAAAAGTAACAATTTGTATGAATTCTCTACTCAAACACGGTTTATGGAGGTAAGAGTCACCAAGGTCTGTTTAACTGTATTCGTAAAAATAAAAGATTCTGACTTTTCTCTATGTGTTTAATTCTGCTACAGTGGTAAACAATGGATTCACTGAGAAGAAACATCATTCTGTTTTAAGGTGTTGTACCTACCACAAAGAGTGTGAGATAGTTGGGTTTTGCCTGTCCGGAACTCTGTTAAATAAAGAGAAGGGAAAAAAAGAGTCAGGGTTTCTTTTTCCAAGTTTGACAGATTCAGGAATTACTGCAGTTAGAAACTCTTACTTACAAAATTCACCTCAATCTCTACCTGTTAAAATCATTTAACCTCAATTTCTAAATCATATTCTGTGCAGGAGAAATGTGTTACATGAAAAGCAAAATCTGAAGTGCTTTAATTTGATCGTGCTTGACTGCTGAAGTCATTCTCTTGTGTGTGGAAGTTAAAACCATATGGCACCTGTGGAAAAGTGATAATGGGGGGGCGGGGTGGGAAAGAAATGGTTGATTCCATTAACCTAGCCCAGTTTCATTTCCAGTAAAATGATCAAGGAGAAGCTTACAAGTTTGTTAATCTCATTCTACCAAAACACATTAGCCCCCAGTTTGTCTTCTAAAGGGAAGAGTACTTTGTTTTATGAACTCTTGTTGCTGAAGTGTCAAGCACCAACTAATTATGTGTACTGTAACAGTAGCTTAATTGTAATTTCAAAATCTATATAAAGTGCAGTGTACCTTAAGTGCATAACTAAAATACCTTTAGTGGCAATTTTGTTACACTGCATCAGGGAGAACTCTGGCATGTTAGTAATAGTCTTAGTAATGCTATGTTGTGCTGAATCAGCATGCCCAGTAATGATTACTCAGCTCAAACTTAGTCTGCAAGCAAATGAAGAGGAAAAATGGGAAAACATAAAGAGAAGTGGATTATTGCTTCTTGCACACATGCAGATACTCATCTTTATAACTACAATGGGGTAAACTTGATAGAAGTAATCCAAGTTGAATTAAAATCCAAATTAAGTTGCAATTCTTTGTTTGGTAATACTCATTTAATGTGGTTCTCTCACCTCCAAAGGCCTCGGTGATTGCCATGCTTTCAATTCCACCACCCAGAAGCTTACTACAGAAAGGGAGAGGTTATGATCAAAAAAATCACAAGAGGAAAATAAAACAGAGACATTTTTACTACTTTAAGGAAAGTAATTTCTGCCCCAAAGCCCCTCACTTGATGCATTAAGTGCAGGGTACTAAATGATCATTGATTCATAAAAAATTAACTCTGTCTTTACCTCCCTTTTTGTGTGCAAGGAAAGATTGATACAAACTATTACTGGAAAGAAAGAAGAGAAAATAATATTTGAAAATAACATTCCATGAAAATATCTCAAGGGAGGACTTGAAGACTTGCAATTTTGACCTCAAACCTGCAGATTATTTTGATAAGCAAAAAAATTATACAGTCAAGATTTCTAGATGCCAAATATTTATTTACAGTGACTGTACAAAGTCCAGTTTCCTCTCATAAAAGGAGTTGGTTTTGGTGCTTACTGATGTAGACTTCTTTAGGGCAGCACTAACTCCAAAGGCAAGGGGAATCTATGTGTCCTAGCTGAGTATTTATTCCCTTATATTTCTGTTTCTCATTAAAGACAATTAAATGATCATTGGGAACATTTGGATGAAGGAAGGATATAAAAGATAAGCTTACTCAAATTCTTGACTGCCAGTGGAAATATGAAATACCATCTTCCGTTTTTCACTGTACTCAAAGGCAGTGAGGAAGCCTGGTTCCTAGGGAAGACCAAAGAGAACATGAGAGGTTTATTTTAGCTTTAACCTGAAGTTGAAAGTGCAATATCCCACCCAAATATCTTCTTTTCCCCCTTGCCTCATTCCCCCTGGGTTGGGCATAAAAAACACCACAGCATTCGTCTGGTTGTTGTGGAGTATAAAGTATTATGCCTTAGAGTAACAGGCAGAATAATTTTCAAAATTATTTTGATGATGCTAAGAGAAATCTTGGACAGCATTTTGGAGAGGCCAGCATAAGTTCAAACTCTCAGGAAAGTGACTGGCTTACAACAAGCTTGTTTGCAGCTTCTTTAATCTTGTCCACTTTGGCCTCTGAGAGCCCCTTCACATTGCACAGTGCCCTTCTTGTGGTCATCTGGATTCCTTTGATTGTGCAAATCCCAGCTGCCTTCAGCTTTTTAATATCTGCTACATTCTGCAAAGAAATTTCCCTTTTGTGAGTACTCAGGACAGTTAACAACTAGAAGGTGAAATAAACCTTAGTGAAATATTTTATGTTCATATGCCTGTGTTTTTGCCAGGAAAGAAACAGATTTACAGTAAACTCTTCATTGTGTAGTTTGTGACACCAACAAAACTAAATTTTGAGTAACAGTGGTGTGAGGGATCATGGTGCAGAGAGCAGCTTCTGGTGGTTTTGAGAGAAAGATGTCTGGGTATTTACTCCTCCCCTTTCAGTGTCAGTTTTTCCAGATCAATGCTGATAGTAAAGAAACAGTGCAGAATTATTTCAGATAGTGTGGACCTTGGACACCCTAGAACACAGTCTGTCCTTGGTCCCTCAGCACAGATAATCTGTAAACCAGATAATCTGGTGGTGGAGGGGTGGGAGCTGATTCACAAGGATCACTGGAAACTGAGTCTAACTGCTGTGCTGTTTCAGCATGTCCAGTTTAAAACACATGTCCTGCAGATCTGAGGGACACTTTGGGATGGACTGAGCTACTCCTTTTTCATAAACTGGGAACAGCACAACTTCAGACAGCACCCTACTGACATATTTTACCTTCCTTCACCTCATTTTATGACTCTGACATCACTGGAAATGTAAAAGCAAGAACAGATTACTCACAAGAAAACATACTATGTGAAAGGTGTGGGATAATACATCAATTTGCCATTTCTGTTCAAGATTTTTCTTTGAAAAAAACCTATGAACTGGACATATAATCTATTTAGAGTGTGTGGGTACATTGAGCATAAGAAGAGAGGGGGGGTTGTGTGAGAAATTAGTCATGTTTATTTCAAAGCTTATTTCTCATCCTGTGATACGTGTGTGACACTCAGCAGAGGCTGAGGGGTAACAGCACCTTAAATCCTACCAAACACTTTGGATCACCGAATCACAGCCTCAGTTGTTCTAATTCTGATTCTCTTTCTGGGCACACTGGCATATCCAGTAAATATTTTTCTCTCTACTCCTTGAAAAAAAATTCTAAATCCACAAAAATTGTTTCTCCAGGTAAATGAATTTAACATATAGCAGTCATCCTATGTTTGCACAAAGCTTTTAGGTGGCACAGCTGAGACCAAAAACTTCCTCTGAGGTGTGGGAATAACAACTTGCAAGAAAGAAAAGAAATTGATGGAAAGGAGCAGAAAACATTTACAACCCCAGAAGAACAGCCTAAGTCGTTATTTTTGGTTTTCAAACTTTCATCCATTTGTATCCTTCAGTGAATGGCATGCCTTGTTTCATACTGAGAGGGCAGTACAGCTCCCTTCCAGCTCAGGTCACACTCTTTGATCAACTTGCTACATTTTTTAAGCAATAATTTGTTTATTTTTCCAATGTTGACCCATAGTTTGAGCTCCCAACCATGTGATCCTTCTTCAGAACTATCTTTAAAACTGCCAGTGAATTGCTAATAAAAACAATTGCCAACAATTGCACTGCTGACATGGTCAGCACAGTAACTGCAGTGCTGACTAATGATGAGTCACTGTGATACGTCCTTCCCAATTTTATCTGTCTGTAGTCACTTTTATTAAATCTCACATTACTTCACACAAACCCAACTTTTTATTCCGCTTCTATAACTCTGATTATAACAGGATTCCAATCCATGAGCCAGTCTCCTAGATAAACATATAATAATTGCAATTAAAATAAACAGGTGATGTTTATGTGATGATGGTAGCAATGATAGAAATTCACATTTGATGAAGAGAACTAACCACTTATTTCTCTAGCTACTAATATTTTCCACACTCCTACTCTACCCCCTGTGCTAGCATGCTGAAAATAGTATAGTAACAATTGTCACAGTGTAATTTCACAGGCACCAAAAATGCAGGAGTAATTACAAAGATTGGCAGGAACAGGAAATAATCTATCACACAGTTTTCAAATAAATTAGCAAGCAGTTGGTTTTTCAAGAGTGCTAGGTGCTAAATACTTTGAGTATCTTGACACTTTATTTAGGAATCTGATGTGAATGAGATTTTCTAAAAATCTGTCTTATCACCAAAGGCAAAATTTGTCTCCACTGACTGAGTTAGAACTTACTGCAAGGAGGAATTTCAGTTATTTGCATCAATGTGTATACAATTTTGGAAACAATCTTACAGTAGCTTTTGAGGGACAATTCTGTGTGATCAAGTGATTGCTAATACTTACAATTCCATGCTTCTGCAGCAGGTCAATATCCTGAAAAAAGGACTCCTAAACAAAATTGCAGAAAAAAATAGATGTTGCTTTTTCTTGTTATTACATGTATCTCAATATGTGACTGTTTCAGATTTGTAAACATTTATTGACTTTTTACAAATAATACATAGCTTGTTGGATAACTGAAATAAGCAAGGCCATAGTGAACTAAAAAGACCTACATGTTTCCTATCATCTTCTCCATAAAGTGTATCTTCACAGGCAATTAATCCTCTGCTGTGCTAATAAAACTTGTGTTAGCACCATCATAATTGCAGCTTTTCTACCATAATTTCTCACACTTTTCGTGCTGATGATCATTCTTCAGCAGCAAAAAATTAACTGATAGTCCCTTTGGATTTAATACAGAAGTGTAAAATATGATGAAATAATGATAATCCCATTAAAAACCGTGCACAGCTTTTGAAAGGTTAATGAAGATTACTTGAAGAGCCAGGCTGTACAGGGACATGGGGAATGAGATTTTCTTGGTAGTAGACTGGAACAAAATTTTAAATGCATTGAACTCCCTGATGGTTTTTGGGGACCTCCTGTCCCTCCACGGGTTTCTTAAGACTCTCAAAACACCTTTGAACATTTGCTGCATGTAGTTTACAAACAATAACAAATTTACCTCATCATCCTGGTATCCTGGTTCTTCTTGGACTACTTGATCCTCCATGGCCTTCATTGTGAAAGAGCACGCAATAAAGTATTGATCACTAGTGGGAAATGCAAACAAAGAGAGTCATGAGGAGGCAATAAATGAGTGAATGTCTGTAAAAGGACTTTTAAAAAGTCCTTGAACTACAGAAACATGTCAGTATGACATCATATATGGATTTAAATTTGGATTCTGCTTCCAATTCTTCATTATCTGACCTACCAGGCCAAAAGGAGAAAATCTATGGCTTTACATTCAGACAAACCAGTTTGGCTAGAAAGGGCTTCATAGGTATCAGGAAAAGAGATCTCATTCCCTTGTGAGAATCTTGGGTCAGAGATGAGTTTTGGAGGTGGGAACATTTAAAATGAATTAGCACTAGTGGAATTTATTCTGGTAAGAATGCTAAAGGCAGTCTGTGTTTTTATATCAAAAGTCAAAATAGTTGCAGACGGAATGGACAATGGCAAGGCAATGAAACAGCTCAGCCTCTCCATCTTTATGTGACAGAAAACCCACAAAACAGTGCTGAGAAGGCTACAACTTCTTAGTGATGTATCTTGAGAGCAGACTTTTAAAGCTGTATTTGTTTTGAAGTTCTTGCTGAGGTTCAAAATGACCAATAAATGCTGAACACGTGCAGGTAATGGCTCTAAGGAGTATGTTTGCATGGAGAGAACAAAAGAAGGGTAATAAAAACCTGGAACTTTTATTGTGCAAACCTATATACAGAGAGCTCATTTCATGTTTTTTCATGGTTAACTTGCCATGTCTGTACTCCAGCACAGCTTCACTGCCCTCTTTATGTGACTTGCTATAAGCAAGGCCTAGAAATGGAATAGGCACTTAGTGACGCCATGGTTCAATGAGCAAAGTGTGACCTCCTTAAATCTTATGAATGCAAGAATAGTGAATACAAAGTAGTTCCTTAGAAACATGATCTTATAACCAAACTACTCTATCATTTTTGTGGCTTTGTAAATGGGTTAAATTGCTTCTGTTTAAATTGTGAGTTTACACTTGGGTGTTCTAGCTCTGGATGATCAAAAGTTTTGTAGACCACCACATCAAAATGTGTGCATATATTTATTTGCTCATTTGTTAACAAAATCCACAAACTATAAGATGGGCTATGTCTAACAAAGGTTGGGATAGTTTAAGCTAAATATCTGCAAAAGGCCTTTTTTTTCAGCTTGTAAATGGATACTAATTTGCTTGCAAGAATCTTGTGTACATAGAGGCTGGCTAAGAAAGGAACAGGATATCAGAATTTCAGAATTATCTTACTCTGTTAGCATTTAATGGAAACATTCTTATAAAATCAGTTGTTTCTGATAGTGTCATGGTATATTTAATTTCTGTTTCAGAACTCTGACAATTATGGAGTGACAAATCGTGCCTTCACATAATTACAGCAAAACACTAATTAAAAGATACTTTGGGAGATTTGAAAAATTCTCTAGCTCCAAATACCGAAGGAAGAAAAACAAGTAGTGCAAGAGGCATTAAAACTATATTACAATCTCCTTCTTCATTAGAAACATCCTCACAAAATGCACACAATTCTGCCCTTCAACCACCACTGAGCAGGTTATGGGATTGTTCTCCTGCTCCCCATCCTTAGGCATTTGGCATCACACAGCAGAAAAATGAGGCAGACCCAGACCTGTGCCTTCCTGCAGGCTATTAGGGAAAATGGAGAAATTATACCTCACCCTATTAAAAGCTTTAGGTACGAAAAAAATCCTCCTGCTTAGTGTTGTCCTGCTGCTGGTATGTGTTGGCACACCTGAAGGATTCCAGTCACCACTGCCTGCAGTGAAGCAGAAAAAAGGGTGAAAGTCTGAGACAACTGAGCAACTCCATGAAAAACCACCAACAATCTTGTGCCACCTCAAATACCCAAGGACAGGTGAGCAAGACCTGGATACCGCGGTGTCCTTCCAGCCTGCGGGTGTGACAGGACCCCGCAATTCCCCCTGGCCTTGGGCGGGCAGAAAGTGGCAGCAGAGCTCGGCTCCCCGGGCCGGGCCCGATCCGACCTGCCCCAAGGAACCTCATGGCGCGACCTCACATCTGTTGCCTCAGAGGAAAATAACTGATTAATCGCCAACAACACACAGATTTATTCGGCTTTTCTTTGCCAGCTGCCTCCTCATGAGATGTACATTTCTGTTCCCAAAGGGCGAGGGACCGCTGAATCTCCCTCCCCCCGCAAAGCACCGTAATTCCCCATCAAAATCAGAACAGTAATTAAATCCCCAGCTCATGCCCGGCAGCTCCCGGGGAGAAGGTGGGTGAAGTACCCGGGGCGGAGGCGCCGAGCCCGCCACAGCCGCCCGCCTCGCTCCTCCTGAGGGCACGGCCCGGCCGCCTTCCCGCCGGCGGCGCGGGGCGGGGCCCTGGGGCGCCATGAGGGGGGCGCGGGCCCTTCCCTCACCCGCCCCGCGCTGAAAGACGCCTCAGTCTCCGTCTTCAGTCAGTCCATCGCCCGTGGTTTATCGGCTACTGTAATCGCTGTCTGTCCGGAATATCGCATTGCCCTCGCTCCACAGCTGGGAAAGGCAGCATTAGTTAGCACCGCTTTGGTTTGGAAGGCATTTAGCTCAACGCAGCTCTGCCTTTTGTTTTTCCAGGGTGCCGCTCACGCATCTTCCTCAGCAAGGCACACACGGCGGTTTTGGATTGGATGGCCAAAACCTGTCAGAGAGCTGGAAGAGAAGTGACTTGCCTGGAGTCACAGGACAAGAAAATGAGCCTGAGTCATACACATGACTTAATCTGCCATTTTAAAAGGATGGAAAAGGTGCTTTTTAGGATATGAACACTTGTGTGAGACATCTGCAGGCTTCTTGGAGGCAGTATTTGGAAAGCAATCGCCCGTTTTAGCTCGCCTCTGGTGGCACAGTTGGTACGGGCTTGCATGTCAAGGAGACATCGCATCTCCTGCGAGCAGCAGGAGTTCCTGGCTGCCCCTTGTGTGGGCTTGGAATGGCAGAAGGGATTGGAGCAGCATTTCAGCCTGTTCCAAGGGGCTTGTGAAAACTTCCCCACCCTCTGCCTGGGGGAGGTTAAGGGCACCTTTCCCAAGCCGTTTCTTAGCCAAGTCAGAAAACAAGCAACGAAACCCAGGGCCCTGTGCCATCATCTGCACACCACGGGAGTGCTCGCAGGGTCTCCATTTGAAACATCGAGCAATTTCTCTAAGTACCAAAAAGTCCAATCCTGGAAGCCCAAGGCTTTGTCTGTACAGAGGAAGTGGCTGGCACAGCTTTTGAAAACCACATTATTCCACAAGAGTTATTCCAGGAGAGCACTTAGGCAGACAGCCCTTTAAAGGTGAATTCCTTCACAAAGTACGTCTTTATTCCAGAACAGAATGAAGAGGATGACCCTTCTGGTGCTGCTGAGTGGCTCTGCAGCAGAAAATACCTCACTCTGTAAACAGCCTTCCCTTCATTATACTTTTAGTTTGTGAAATGGTTCTCAGAAAGGTCAATGAATGCACAGAATTTTAAGACCATTTCCCACTCCAAAGAGCTACTTTGGGCAATAAATTACATTCTGCACCTTCAAAACATTGTGTGATCATTAATTGCTCATTTGGCTTCCACCTGGTGTTGTACACTAAATGAGCCCATACTGTAGATGCATCCCTCCGTCTTCTCCTTCCATTTTGCAGGTTCTGCTGCTGACCAATGCATCTCCATCCCCGAGGGATGTACTGGAATGAGACACACCACTGTGATATGCATTTCCTCACACTCGAGATCTTGTACCTGTTTGGACAAGAACCAAGTCAAACCATTACCATAAAATATTAAGTATCCAGCTGATTTTTTCTTTTCATCCTCACAAACTTAATCCATAGTTGCAATAGAGAAATCATGAGGGGTTTTGTTGTTGTTGGGGTTTTGTTTTCCATCACTGGTCAGAGCTAAGATGAGCTGCAAAAGCTCTGTGCATACAATGGGTCTCAGGGTAGGAGTGGCAAAATATCAGATCAGCCAAGCTTTGAAATTCAGACTGAAGTAACAGGAGAGCTCTGTTGTTAAAATTGAATCGCTGGAAGGAATAGAGACTGTACTGGGGGACTGAGTTGTGGCTCCATTGTAGTCTTGAGATCCTTAGGCTAAGCCTTGACAAAAGTATTCAATGCTACAGTATTGGGAGTGATCCTGCATTAAAAAGACACATTAAAAGGTAGATTTTGCTGCCTCTAATTTATTTTGAGTTAATCACTAAGGATATATTATAGGATTAGAGACCTCCCTTCTGTCTATCAAGATGTCCTGTCTAGACCACGGTGCAGCATTGCAGCTATGAAGGAAGTGATGAATTGGAGGGCTGTGCCCACTGATACTAAAGAGATGTCAGGTCAAGTCAGGAACACGACAGATTGTATGTGACTGGAAAAGAAGGTAACAGTAATATCAAAATACCAACTAGAGAATTCAGGAATGGATATTTTTCTAAATGAGAAATAAATGATCTGTATGTCAACTGTACAAACACAGTAAATTATGGCAGTCCAAGCCCCACAAGATTCACTATTTTTACAGGTGATTGTGAAATTAGAATTTCTTTATACATATAATTAAGAATGAAATGATAAAATAAAAAAATATTTTTTAAAAGCAAACTGGAAACAACAAGGCCACTTACAGTCATTGCAAAACCTAAACCGAGTTAGAGGATTTATGGAGACATACATCAGTATATCACATGTGATCTATCCAAAAGACAAAGGAGATAAGAAAAACTGTCTATTTTGAGAATGCACAAGGAATTTTTTATTTAAGATAAAAATACAAACTAGTAATAGAGAACAATAGGACTGAAAGAGACGTCAAGAGATTATCTATCTCAGAGCAGATTCTGATGTCCATTTGGCTAGGGAGGCTGTGGATTTTCTTTTATCTTTTGAGAAAGAATGAGACAATTTCAGTCCTTGCCTATCCTTGCCATTACCCTTGTTGGCTACCCTTCACTGTGCCATGCAATTTTATCTGTAAAAAATATGCAATATTCGAGCTAACTTCTACTTTTAAAAGTTTAGGTAACAGAGATCTAATTCTTGCATGCTTTCTTCTACCCCAAAAGAGAAAAAAATGCCAGCATAACCAGTTTGAAAAAAATGCCCAAACATGATGGATTATGTCATAGTGTGTGCAGCTTGGTGTTACCTGTTCATGACCTTTGGAGCTGAAACATGCAACCCTGGAATATGATATTGCCACTCTCAGTAATTTGCCATAGGCTTTGTACTGAATGTGAAAGACCTCAGGACTGAGATTCGTCAGGTTTGTTTGCTTTGAACTTCTCTTGACCCTTCTGCATCTTTTCCTTGGTTAGCTGTGACAGCAGTTTCCATAATCAACCAGGTCTGTGGCTAATTTGTTTCACTTCTGTTTATCTGTGTGTGGTACAACCTTCATTTTATATAAACAAAAGTAACAAACAGTTATTCTGCGTAGAAAAAGAGACTTATGACTAGCACAGCGATGCAGTGCAGAGAAATGCAGGCATGGAGCAATAGCAGAAGCCTTGAGGAATGGGGGCACGAGATTTGCTGAGAAACACAGGGATATAAAGGCAGCAGGCAAGGCACAGGCTTGGCAGGGCTGGCCTGATGGCTGTGAACATCTCACCAGTGAGCAGCCAAAGAAAAGCTGAGCTGAAGCTGGATTTAGGGGTAACAAAGAGAAAAAAGAAAAAGGAAAAAAAAAGTAACATTCACAATAAGCACTACATGCCATAAAATCAGATGCAGTGTGGTGCTGGTAGGTGTAGGTGCAGCAAAGCTGAGGCCCTGCCAGGATCACCTTTTCCAGCCCCCGTGTTCCTGGAGCTGTAGGCTCTTTGACTCTCTCAACCCTAAACCTCACCCTAGCCACTACCCTAACCCTTTGAGCACATTTCTAACTTAAGCTAATAGATAATTTTAAAAACATTTCTTTTTAAAGCAGCTTTCTCATTTTTAACACTTCTATCTGCTTGAGCAACTGGTGCTGCAACCTTTTACAGTTTAGCAGTTTCTGCACAAAAAAAAAAAAAAAAAAAGAATCTCTATTTTAATCGCTATTGAAAAAAAATGAAATGCAGTTGGTAAAATATATTACTCTGAATCATGAAATGTATACTTTGGGAAGTGCAGGTCTTTTTTTAATCTGTGAGAGCTTTCTAAACAGCTGTTGCAAATTCCAAAATAACTGCTCTTTACTAACTCCACATACATAGATTTTTGTTCTGGAATAACTGCACCTTGTTCTACTTCAGCTTAATATTAACTTTATGATAAACAGAAGTAACAGACTAATTATGAAATAAGACTGCCCACATATGTAGCTAAGTGGGAGTAGTAATTGCAATTGCATATATCTTTGTTCATTTGAATTACCTCCAAGATCAGATAAAAGTAGGATGAAGAAAGCAATAATAAAACTTATTTGATATGAAACTTTTATCAGTCTTCAGATTTGGTGACAATACCTCTGACAAGCTTGCATTTGAATCAAAGCTCAATCATAGCCCTGGTTAAAGTCCATGGGTGAATATCTTCATTTTGCTAAGTAAACCAGAAGAATTGACTAACCGATCCTGTGCTCACAGATTAAATGGGAAGCCATTCCCTAAGGGAATGAAGTACATCACATGGCCAGTCCCTGGCACCAGGGGCCTGATCAGAGTACAGAGCATGGCCAGGCTCCTGCACTGCCCTCACTGATGTCCCATGTTTCAGCTCTCAGAGTGAGCCTGAGCTTTGCTCTAACCCAGCAAGGCATTATGATTTGCTTTTCTCCTATTTGCATTCCCTCTGGTGCTTGTCTGAACAGTAAAACAGGAAAGGTGTAATCAGGCAGCTGGGAGTTAAGGGAGAGAGAGAAAGACTGCCTTGGCATGGTGTTGGATCCGTTTTACCATTTGGTGAACTGTCACCGTTCCTGTAGAACAGAGGGATTTCTCTGGGACTGAATGCAGATACAGGGGGTAGAATTTGTCTGGCAGCAGCTGCACACTTTGGTGCCTAATAAAAAGTGAGAGAGAAGCAACAAGGATTTGTTGCAGGAAGCTGAGTCAGAAAACTTGATTTAACTGCAATAACTCATGAGAAAGGGAGTTAAAACAAGAAAATGTTTCAGTGCTGCAGAACATAGGCCTCTGTGTGTGTATTCTTCACAGAGAGATCCTGACTCCTAATGCAAACAAAGTTGGAAGTACTGCAAATACTGTCTTAACTGTTATGGCCAAAAGAGTCAATGCTTCTTTAACTTATTCACACATTAGCACTGAAAATTAGTCTCAAAAAGACATGAAGCAGAGCAGCTTTATGCACCAAACATAGGACAGCAGAGTTTTCAGTGTTACAGCTGGAAAAAGCGTAATTCATTGAATGTCTTTTTCTCCCCTTTAATGCATTCCAGCTCAAAGAAGCTGAGTGCTTCTGTTGTCAAGTAGGGTGAATAATAACTTTGAGTACACTGCTCTGTTTTGTACTCAGGACAACATTTTCATTAGCATGATTCAGAAAGAAGAATGTATTTAAAGTGCGGCTGATAGAAAAATTTAAATTTCTAGGTCGTGGCAGATTTCACTGGTCACATAAAATAAAAAGATGTATTACAGGAAAAACATTTTTAAATTCACGTTTGGAAGAAATTCAGCACTGGTATTTGAGACAATTCTTCATTTAAAAAAAACCCCAAATTTTGAAGAGCCTCTGCTTGAAAAACTAATAAATTTAACAGTCTTTCCACATTCCTTATCAGTATGGAAAAGCTCAGGTTTTCCATCTTAGACTCTCACTTGGTATCAGCTTTCCTTTTAAACCAATCATGCTGCAGAACTGAACATGCTCCTCCTTTGGCCAGTTTTTTACTCTTGGCTTTGCCTGCTGCTTCCAATTGAGTTTGTATGTAAACCATAGATAAAAACCCCAATCTTGCTCCATTTGTATTCCATATGCTTGTCAGGTTATTGGCCACAAAAGATCATAAGCAGTTTGTATTTCAAACCTCAAAACTTGGATAGGCATTGAGTACATCATCATACAGTTATTTTTATATTGGAATAATATTTAAAGGTCTTAGGAATTGTAATTGGCTTTAAAATATTGCTTCCTTGACTTTGCTACAATAGGGCCTTATTTTTCAGTAATGATCTGGCTAATAATTTTCTTCAATCTCAAACCTTTAAACTTCAGAGATTCATTAGCCTGATTATTCTTTTTTAAGCCATTGTTCTCCTTTCCATGGATTACCATGGTTTCTTTACCAGTCTTACTGGAAGTGAGTTCTTTATTAAACACTTCTCTGTCCATATCTGAAAAAAAAGCTGTTAATCTCTCCTTCTCATGTTTTTGCTGAATTGGTGATTATAAGTGACATATCTGTGTTTCTGAAACTCTGTGCTGCTGCACAACTCCTACTCATTAACAACTCCCACAGGGGTTCAATATACCCCAGTACTTTCTGCTGCAGTCTTTCTTCCTATTTTGTCTGTCCTCCACTGTTGTTCTTCCACTGGATTATTAAGGCCACACTTCCTGTTTTAACAGTCAGCCA